GCGAGTGCCCCCCCCCGCCACCCCAACATTGGCCGCCCCTTATAAGGTGCCGCCCCAAGCACATGCTTGGTCGGCTGGTGCCTGAAGCTGGCCCTGACAACACCACACCCACAAGGTGTGTGGGTTTTATACACATTGAAATTACATGAGTGTTGAGTTCTGCTCTTGCAGAGCTTGATCTTTTGCTTTTACTTTCCCTCCTTATTATTTTCTATCCTCTTACTGATACTAAACACTGTAGCTGAAGTCCTACTACCTTTGCTTGAACAGCTTTCAGCTATTTTATTACTTTCCCTCGGGGGGGGAGGGGCAAGTGGGACAATTTGCTGCAGGGAATGTCTAAGGCTCCCCCCCCTGCCTCCGCCTTCCCCCGGCGCCTCAGCACGCTGCATCCAGTGGCGGCCCTAGACAGCGCTGCAGTGGCGTGGCTCCGGCGGGACCTGAGCTCCTCCCGCTCAGAGCCACATGGTAAGGGGGCAGGGCAGGAAGCTCAGGTCCCGCCAGAACCATGCCACTGCAGTGCTGTCCAGGGCTGCTCCTGGACGTGGCTCGCTGAGGCTCTGGGAGAGGGGAGAGGCGGGGGTAAGCGGCATGGTAAGGGGCCAGAGGGGTTGGATAAGGGGCAGGGAGTCTTGGGTACAGGGAGCGGGTGGAGGGGTTGGATGGGGCAGAGGTTCGGGGGTGGTGGTCAGGGGACAGGGGGTTGAATCATGGGTGTTCCAGGGGTCTGTCAGGACTTGGAGGAGGGATGGATAGGGGTCAGGGCAGTCAGGGGGCAGGGGGGGTTTGAGGATGGTGGTCAGGGGGCAAGAAGCAGGATGGGTCGGGGCTTCTGAGGGGGGTAGTCAGGGAGCAGAAAGTGGGTGGGGGGTCAGATAGGGGGCAGGGCCAGGCTGTTTGGGGAGGTACAGCCTTCCCTACCTGGCCCTTCATATAATTTTGGAATCTCAATGTGGCCCTCAGGCCAAAAAGTTTGCCCATGCCTGCCCTAATGTCTCAAAAAAAAAAAAAGTGGCTTTGCGTTTTAATTTAATCGCATGATACGCTCTATATAGAAAGCCCATGTTCACTCACAGCATGCGTCCCCACTACTGCGGCGCCGCATTACCATTAGGCCTCCCCTTCCCTCTGACTACTATTTTAGAAAATTCTTTGACCTATATAAGCGGCCGCGTCAGGCGTGCCCAGCGCAGTGTCTACAGTGGTTGTAATCTTTGTCGCGTGTACTCTACTGAAATAGCATAACAAGCCCATGGCTTTACATTTTAATTCAATCGTATGATACCCCCTTTTAATTTTAAAATATGGATCCATTCGTTGTTAAGATAAGAAAAGGAGCAGACAAGCTGTTCATGTGAAAGAGCCTTTTCAAAACTAGCACACGTAAAAAACAAACTAAGAAGTATAATGTCCCAACAGTGCCTCGACTCACTCATGATTTTGTACATTGAACAAGAATTTGCTTCGTCAGTTAATTACAATGATGCGATTGAGGAATTTAAGTCCATAACACCTGGTGAGTGATGTCAGTCTCTAGGACAGGAAGAAGAAGAAGCCTTAATCTGTTTTGGTCAATTTGGGTTAGCTCATTATCTGGTTAAAGATAAAGATCTTTGTATACACCTGATTATCACTACAGCAGAAATTTGGTATTTTGTCTCTCATTTTTTAAGTAAAAAGTTTAGTTGTTAATTTAAAAAAAAATAAGTTTAGTTAAGTTTTAGTTTCTTTAGTTTGTTTGATGAATAAAAATAATGTCCTTTATGATTGAGTATTCAATAAATGTTCACCTTTAAAAAAAAAATTCCCTGGGTACACACCCTAATGAAATGTGCTGTGCACGCCTATGTGGGCCATGCTTCTTGATGTTGCCAAAGCATAACAAAGTGATATAAAGTAATATTTAGAGCATACTTTTTGCAAGATAGTCTCCCTCCTGTGCACGATGGTCATGACAGGTACTTCAACATCTATTTTAATTTCTGTCACAGTTCAAATTGTTCCACAAGACACGGGGTACATAAGGAATATTTCATTTAACTACCTGTGAAGGTTTGGATCACAGAAACCCCCTTGCAATGAGAATTCTGTTCAACCATGATTGCTTAAACCAATGCTTTTTCAGAACTTCAGCTACCACCTTTCCAACAGACTTAGGAGTTGAATGTTTTACTATTACTGAGATGTGGCATTTGGAAATATCAGAAAACCATTCTAAAAAGAGCGTAAACCTTGTTGAATTTACAGTACTTCATGCAGCTATGAAATGCAAATTTTTAAATGTTTTTTGCAACATACCTTAAACTCTTTTTGGAATTTCTTTTCATGTTAAAAGTACGTAGCATCCAAAGTTTTTATGAAAGCAAACGGTGAGGCTCAGCTTATGTTTTCTGTACTATACACTAACCTGTGGAGGAAGTGGACATATACATTATTGTATGATCTATTGATAGGCTTTGTTGTGTATATTTTAACATTCAAATACACAAGTGAGAAGTTGCAATAGCCTACAGCTTCTCACACTTAAAAAAAAACAACAGTATTTCCCCCCTAATTAGTCCAATATTTTATTAAACTAATAAAGAAAACATTAAGTTGCAAAATCAGCTTTGTTTGAGGTTATTATGAATGGGCCCAACTGCACTCCTGGAATCTGCAATGGGGATTTATCTACCCCAAGTAGCATCCACTGTTTTCAATGGGACTTAGATTAAGTGCCTGAATCACTTTTGAGAATGGGAATTAGGTGCTTTTGAAAATTTTATCTTAATTAAATAAGCAGTGTGCTTGTATCAGGTCATGTCATCAGTTAATTTTATGCCACAAGCATGCCTGAACAAATAGTAAAGCTGATTGAGACTACAAGAGTTTTTTCATTAAATGCTTTCCACCTTTTTTTGTACAAACTTTTCAATCAGCTCTACCAGTTTGGATAAGGTCCATGTCCAACATAGACCGCCATCTACAACTTAGACTTGATCAATCAAATGAAAGTAAGAACAAAACATGAGGAGCATGAGTTGCTGCTCAGTTATATAAACACAATGCTTTAGTTAGTATGCCAGTCTCAGTGAACAATTTATTTTTTTTTAAATTGAACCCAAGAGGTATCAAAAAGGATTCAAATACTTATATAGATAATGAGAACATCTGCTGTTTATATTAAGTGGATATCAAGGGATAAGTCAACCACTAAGGGCCCAATCCAACTCCTACAGGAGCCAATGAGTTTTTTCCCATAGGAATTGGATTGGGCCCTAGTTGCCAGGTTTAGGAATAAACTTCCCCCTCTAGGCAACTTATTCTGTAATTGTACACTCCAGGGTTTTATGCACCTTCCTCTGAAGCAGCAGGTACTGATACAAGTGCAGTCAGACAGGATACTGAACTAGATAGAAACAATGGAAGTATCAAACCCATTGTCTTTCTATACAAGACAGTAAAAAAGTAAATAAATTTGTGGGTCTAAAATAGACCTATGTAAAGAGGTACAAGTCCATTGAATTCAGTAGAATTTTGCCCATTTAAGACTTGATCCAATTTTCATTAAAGTCAATGGAAATTTTTCCACAGATTTCAGTGTGACCTGGATTCAAGCCTTACAGTACAATTAAAGTTGCCTTCATTGTCTCATAACTTATGGAGGCAAACTTGGTTTGTTATGATGTTTTGTTTTATGTATATTATAAACAAATCTCCCTTAAATCATCTGTAAAGAAAACAGACTAGCTTTATTTCCATCTTGGTTAAGAGATTGCCATCTATTTCCAAAACAATTTCCTTTTTCATCCTGTTCAACATGTTGCCTGATGTATCCAATTTCAAGCAATGTGATCGGATTCAGTAGTGCTGTTACCACTTATTCCAGGGACAAACCTACAAAAAAGTAATAGCTAGTGAGGATATGTTGTAATTGGAACCCTGAGGCTATGGGCTCAGAGCCAGACCCATAAGCTTTTGGATCCAGAGTGGGTGGATGAGATGATACTATTACTGCCATTTAATTTTTTGCACTTGCCTATACTGCTTTTACACACAATTTGGATCTAAACCTGTCCTCAGATATGCCCACATAGCTCATGCTGACTTAAATTGGAGCAGCACACGTCTGAGGCACTGCCTCTCCCTCCAGTGCCTTGTCCCCTTCATCTGGACTTTGATTTTTTTTCTTATGCTTTGAATAGCAGTTGCTTCTCAATGCAGCCAAAATCAGCTTTTTACAAATCCTTTTCTACTCTTACACCCATTTGTTTGCTTTTGATTATTACCCGTTTGACATACAAGTTTAACAGAGACTAGACAGGGCCCTTTCCCACCCTATTGAGTTGAAATTTACCATCCATTTACTAGGCATTGTGCTATCTGCACACAAATTACACCGAGCTCACCATCAGCCATGGCTACTGTGCAGTATTAGAGGAAAGGTCAGTTTATGATATAACTAGAATGTTTCAAAATCTGCCAAATTTTAAAATTTTGAAGATTTTTGACTGGAAAGGCACCTAAAATGTGGTTGAGCATCTATAAAAATTGAAGTTTTTAGTTTTTCAACTTTTAAATATGACTTTTTTGGTCAAAAATTGTTTAACACCCACATGCTCCCCATCTCACCCCAAATGTCAGGAAATGGTATTCAATAAATAATGTTGACTGAACAACCTGGCCAGTCACACTGCTTTTTTAAAAAAGTTTTACTATAAAGTAGCCACTGGAAATAGAGATCAGTAACTACTACAGAGATACCACTTTGTAAAGCTCACCCATATTATATGACTGGGCCCAGAATACAAAGAGCAATCTTTGATCATCACCCTTATTACCACTACACTTCGATTATCCCAGATTACTATCCCATGCACTGATTTTGCCAACAAACAGCAACAAATAGAGGTATGGAGCTACAAGAACTGTGGTAGGGTGACCAACTAGCAAGTGTGAAAAATCGGGATGGGGTGGGGGTGGGGGGTGATAGGCGCTTATATAAGACAAAGCCCCGAATATCAGGACTGTCCTTATAAAATTGGGACATCTGGTCACTCTAAACTATGGGGACTCTGTGCTTCCTCCATGTATAAGTCCTGGTACATGCCATCTGGCAACATTCAAAAGACTTGCAACTGGCAGTAGTATCAGCAGGCGTGGGGATAGAGATGAGAGCTGGCTGGAAAAAAAGGAATCCTTTTCTATGGGATTTTTTTTAATTAATCCCAAATCAGGATGAAATGCTGAAGCCACAAACCTTTTCACAGAATGGATTTAAGATCCATTTTTGGAGAACTGAGATCAGCTCCCTGGCTGGCCTCTCCCTGCCCTGCCCCCACAAGGTTCCTATCAGTTTCACTTATGTAATTCACAAGAGCCTTCCAGCCTTGCTGCTGGAGAGGCAGAGATTCTGGGCACTCAGTCTGATTTTGCAACTCCAGGAGGTAGAGAGCCAAGACTCTCTGTTCCCAGAGCTAACCCTGCAGGAAAACTTTTGTCAGTTTCACTGAGAACACGCTGTATAAGTACAGAGGGTAAAATAATTTAGGCCAGGGGCAGCACAGCAAACTTATTTTTACAAACAGTTGCATGGGCTCTTTAATGTCCAGTGAAGGCCAATTCAATGGAATCTTGGGCCTCCAGTGAAACCATTAGATTGGGAGAAGGTAGTGTTAGTGTTACCCAAACTCCCCAGCCATGCCAAGGTGGAGGTAGAGCAGAAAACAATACATAAATAACTGGCATGTACATAGGTGAAAATACATTTACAATAGTGAATGGAGTTTCCCTATTAAACAGTATTGAGGAATCTGTGATATACGCCAGACAGAAAGGCAATAAAATGGATGAGCTTCTGATTCTCCAGGGGCTCAAATTTGTCGCCATGGAGCTCTCAGCTAGCATGAAGTATCTTATGCTCCTCATCATATGGCACTAGAAAACAGCCAGCAGACATCACTCCATAACCTGGTGAGCCGCTATGGCTTGATACCACTGTCTGACCAGCGCACTATCCATACAGTGCTGACAAGACCTAATAAGTGTAAAGTCTCTGATTTACTGCAGAGCCTATCAGACCCCTTTGCTATGAGAGATCTCACTCATGCGCGCCTTCATCAATGCCCATTACTAATCATAATCCACTTTGTTAGCGAATCATTAAAATAAAAAAAAGCATTAGGAAGGTATTACTAGTGAATCCCCATAGTGAAGTAGAAATCTCCTCATTATCCTATTATTGCTACAATTAAGTATTCATTCTGTGACTCTGGACATTTTACTACCTGCTCTTCTAAAAGTTCAAAATGTTTTAAGTATCATGAATAGAAAAGCAAAACTATTTTTCTGCATAAAAGGAAGAGCATTCCCACTACAACTACAAACTTCACATAGTGCTAGAGGAACATTATTATGATGTTGAACCAGTAAATCACAATGGTAAATCAAAATATTTGAATAGCCTGAACATCAGGTAAAGATTGCTTCCTTCCTTTGCAAGAAGTACATAAACTCCATAGCATACTTTTAGTTGCCTGTGGTCTCTGAACAGTAGCCAATAAAAATAGTTATATTAAAAAAAATCTATTTTCTTTTCATAGGTAATCTTCAATCTTATTTCATAAAAATGATATAGTCTTTATGGACTAATGAGGCAGGTTATGTATTTCAGGGAATCTGTTAAGAAATCTTAAGTACTAAATGTGACTTTCAATCATGTTCAGGTATTGTAATGTATCCTACCAAGTTAAAAATGAAGCCACCATAAGCCATTTATATCAATAATGCACATATAAATTTACCCCAATGATTAAAGCATAGCATAGTTGTCCAGAATAACTGTGCATTGAACAGTTGTGCAAAATTAATGAATACAAGTTTCCACTTGAATATTTTTATTATGTTCCGTTATCCTTTGGGTAAAGCCATCAAAGGGAGCCCAGAGAGAAATAAAGAACAGCATGATACTTTACAGCTATATAGCACCATTAATCTGAGAACACCAAAGCCCTTCTCTAACTATACACACAACTTCAACAATAAGATGTAGCCACCTGTTGGATGGAGAATAGCAGCCAGGTAGGTGACTGGTGCACAACAAACTGCAGAAGTTACGCTTCAGTCTTATGCCATGCAATCTTTATTTTCCATATTTTTAAGGTCTCTTTGGAAACATCCCATCCTGTTTCCAAGCTTGTGACCCCTAGAAGAGTTTAATTAAAGGCAATGACACATTTTAGGTAGGAGGAAAAAAAGTCAGACAAAATCCAAACATACAATCAAATTCTAGTACCACATAAATGTATTACACCCTGGGGAGCTCTGTGAAAACCAAGGGCAACAGAATCCTCCTCATAGAGCCACATACACAAGCCTTCACAGCCATTATGTTACAGGATATGCAAATAGAGAAGTTAGATTAAAAAA